AATCCAGTCAGTCAGAAGTTCTGGAGGCCCAGGCTTGCAACTGGTGCCTGAAGTGGGCTGAGTCTTGTGGGACTAAGCCTTCAACCTGTGGGATCTGACACTATCTCCAAGTAGTTGGCATCAGAATTAAACTGGAGGACACCCACCACCTGGTGTCTGCTGCAGAACTGATTGCCTGCTTGGTGTATGAGGAAAATCCCCCGCACATTTGGGAACAGAAGTTTTCTGTATTGATTGTGGCGTGAGAACAGAGAAAAAGCAATTTGTGTTTTTTCCCACTCGTTATCTTATACTCTTCTTTCCTCTTCTCTCACATTCCATCACCTACCAAAATCTTATCAATTTTATCTCCAAAATACTTTGTTTCCTTTTGCCTTCACCATTCTCATTATCTTCCACCTGGACTACTATAAAAACCTAAGTAGTCTCCCTAAAACTATTCCTGTCAGCCTTAAATCTAACCTGCACAGTATGGCCAGAGTGATTTCAGAGAACAGGACTAAATAAGTCACCCCCTCCACTCTAATCCCCACCCTTGGCTAAAAAACACCCAAAATGGCTAGAGCAGGGGTCAGCCAACCTTTTCTGTACAGGGCCAAACATAAATAGTTTAGGCTATTGCAGTACATAGGCTTTGTAGGTCTCTGTTCCAACTACTCAACTCTTGTGTTGGAGTACAAATGCAAATGACAATAAACAATATGTAAACAAATGGGGTATAGTTGTGTTCAAAAAGTTTACTTACAAAAACAAGTTGTTCCCCTGACCTAGAGGATAAAGTAAAACTTCTTAACATGGAATATAAGGTGGTAACTTATGTTTGGCTATATCCAATGTCAACTCCCAATCTTCATTTCACACTCTCTATTACAGAACTGTTTATACTGCCACATAAGTATCATACCTGTGTGCTTCTGTTTATACACCCTTCCCAACTTTCTTCCGGCTAACTCATACTGTTTAAGTTTTGGCTCAGGTAATATCCTTTCTAAGAGGACTTCCTTTAACCCTCAAATTGGGTAAGGTACCCTTCCTAGATCTCCCAAAGAACCCCAATGCATACCTCATACTAACTTTATTATACTATATATTTTGTTTAAATTTTGTTTAAATCCCTCACCATTAGTTATTAAGTTCCTGACAGGAGGGGACAAGGTCATTCATTTTCATAACTCCAGTATCTAGCACACAGTAAGTACCCAATAAATGCTTTCTGAATTGAACTGAAGGTTTCTCTTAGCAATAAACCTGACGTGAGAGTAAATCTGTTGACTCAATCATTATTAAGAATTTCTGTCAATAAGTTACATAAAAAAAGACATCCAACATTAACATCAAGAATACAATTTTATTTATTTTTTCCTTAAGAAAAACAGCATTTTATCCAACAGAAGAGAAACACTGAAGTGTGCAAAAATTAACCAGGTGTGGGTGAGGAGCTGGACAGAAATTCCTACACCATCACAACCAGCCAGACTTCATCCATTTCCACTTTAGCCTGGATTTAGGCATGGACTGAGTTCAGTTGTTTAGGTCTGGTTTATGATAAGGCCACACAGAGAGCAGATCAAATCAAACCAACCATCTGGTCAATCTATCACTTGCAGATCCTAAGGGCAGGGCGTATTTCCTCTCAAGAGGAACAAGATTACAACTGGAGATGGAGTTGGTGACTTTTAATTTGTGAGATTTAGGCCTGTGCGCAAACTTTCCCTCCCCTTCAGAAAAGAATTCCTTCCAGGGTGATTCCCGAAGATGTTTGTCCACAGATACAGTATGTCCCTTTGTTGTAAATATGTATCTGGTTCCAGATTCCTGTACTGGATTCTCTTCATCAAATAGCAGATACAAGTATTTGCAGGTCTCACTAAGAAAGAAGCTCTCCACCTGGCCCTCTGTCGACTTGTCAATGATGTGATGCAGTGTGGCATACTCAGATTTGACTTTTGTATATTTCTCCAGACTGCAGAAAACCCATTCCTACATGGAGGGAGAAGGGATTTTTGGTTGCCTGGTAGGGAAGATATGTGGATTCCTGTTGGGCCATATTACGGTGCATTTTCGCCATAAGGGATTTTCCCATATCTAATGTCTGTTTCTTGGTGGGGGCAGGGCGGCAGCCATGTTGCGTGCGAGCCGCAAGCTCGTCGCCGCCATTTCATGTGGGCCAAAGCGCACGTACCTAACTACTCCCTTTTCCGGGGTTCTATGACTCTGCACTTTTTTCCCGCCCTACTTTCTCCCGTCCCTCCACGGCGTGGCCGCCCCTGATTGGGTGACGGCTCCCCCACCCTGTCCTCTCTATATAAGCTCCTGTCCCCTCGCAATAAACGGAGTTCCGGCTTTGACCACTCTCCTGGCTCGGTGGTGTTCTTTCTCGGCCCCCGGGGAGGAAGGTCCTGGGGGGGAAGGGCCGTGCCAGCGACACTCATCATCCCGCTCAGCCCCACAAGGGACCCCCGGCTGGACCGGGGTCTCTTCCCGCTCGGTTTTGTCGGCCTCTGGCTCGGGCCGGGGTCTCTTCCCGCTTGGTTTTGTCGGCCTCTGGCTCAGGGAGGCCCGACAGTAGCAGA